ACTACAGATGAATATCGCGTGTCTAATGAAGACATGGATTTAATGAGAATATGTACAACACAAATCTTCTATCTTAATGTATTCAAGGAACCCAATGATGACAACTAGAAAAGCTGCTTTAATGTTCTTCTTTTAGAAAGACAATTTAGGTTATCAATTTGAACATATACAATATTGCAGTGATAGTAGTCATCAATGAAAGAGGTAACATAGTAACATAAAGCAGTTTAATAAGATCTGACAAGTTATAACAAAAGAAACATCCTATTGTAGCCAAAGCCATTTTTATGGTGTACTGGTTCACATACTAGGCGAATATATTTTCTCTGAAAGCAATTTAGATATAAATTTTCATCAATAAGATTACATGGGAAACATTCAATTTGGGTTGTACATAATATTTCCCAAATTTCAATGCTCATCTCCCTAAATTTTGCTTTAAGCATAATACATGAAAATGCTTTTGTCTGTGATCACATTGACTCTTGTTCCAGTGACATATAATGCTCCAACTTTGATTTGCACCTCAAAGGGTACCAGACCAGAATGCAAAAGAACAAATTGGTAGCAATTCGAATCAAATATGCTTTGACTTTAATTTTTTTTAAAACATCGTATATATGTCAAATTTAGACAAAACCAAAGATTAGTATCTTATGCATCCACTTCAAGGGACAACTGAATCAATCATGCACATGAAACAGATTCCAGCACGGGGATTAAGTTCGATCAGTTGGCTACTTGTGTTACTAATGTCGAAGAAGATACCTTGGATCCAAAAGAAATTCCTTTGGAATGTAGTTGATGCCAACTCTCAGGTCAGTTGCAGCTCCAAGATCAATGATTTTGAATGTACGAGACTCTGATTCCCCAAGGTTTATCAGAAATGAGAGCTTAACTTGGATTAGGGATGAACAACGTTATGAAAATTTTAGACTCATTATACCTTCAGAAAAAATAATGTTCTGTGGCTTAATATCCCTATGCACAATACCAGTTGAGTGAAGACCATCCAATGCAAACAAGATCTGCCTCATGATCGTTTGAATGATTCTATTCTCTCTTTCTAATCCCTTGGGCAAGGCTTGGGCTTCACCCAAAAGCAATGTTTCAACCTGAAATTTGTGGCACCATCATATGGAGAGTTTTAGCAATCATGATTTACTATGAGAGCATAAAATTCAAATAGAATTTAAGAACAAACAAAGTGCTACAGAAACATGTACTGACGAATAGATAAAGAATACGAAACGTATTATCCTCATGAATTAATATATTATACACCGTCACCCCTAAAATTCATGCAAGAGGAAAGAGGATAGAGAATCATTTTGAATAGATCTCTCAACAAGCACTTACGAGCAACCAAAATAAAATGAATCAAGGAAGTAAGATAAATCAAACTTCTCGCATGAGTTAAAGTCATCTTATGTACCTCAACTTTTTTAAAAGTTCCCTCGTCTAACTTTTCCATAAGTACATACAAACTTAATAGAGCTAGGCGTTCTTACCTTAGAAAAAAATTTACAATTGAAAAGCTCCTATATGCTAGAAGCTAATCCTAATTGGGTCATACTCTCTTTTCTTAAATGTTGGACAACTGATGTAAATTCATTGGAAATTAAGGCCAAAATACTAACAAAATTGACAATTTGTCAAGTACAAGCATTCTGATTAAATAGACTACCAACATTATATGGAAACTCTCTATTCTGCAACAAGTCAGCTAGGGTGGAATCCCCTTCATATCGCCATATAAGCCAGTATTCAGCAGCTTTCTTTGTAGAGCTCTGCAAACAGTATGTGAGAACTTCTGTATTTGTCAAGACATGACTGACACTAAAATATTAAACGTTGTGATGAGAATGTCTTTGATTAGTGATAACGAAAATTTGTTAGGCAGTAAAATTTTTTATAGAGAAACACCTCAAGAAAACCATAAACAAAATCTGCACAGCTGTTTGCACAAGCTCTTCGTACGCGCTCGTTCATCCAAATTTCTACAGCCCCATATTCGGTCGCCTTCTTCAAGACTAAGTCACCTTCCTTCCAGTGACAACCAAACAGAAAAATAAGTTATAACTATATAATTCAAGAGGTCTAAGACAATGAAATCTCTTAAGCACATATGCCATATCAACATGTGGGTTCCTCATTTTGTTTCCTCAAACCATGAGCAATCAAAAGTGAAAACAATACAGATAACCAAAATTTATAAACAAAAATAACACCAACACAGACACAGCATGGACAAGGACACTCCAACAAGACTTATGTCCAAATTATAGGGCACCGCATGACAAAAGAAATTAAATATGCACAATATGACAAAATATTTAAATTGATAATCAAGATTTGTTTATTCACAATGAGTCTCATAAAAAAGTACTAAGAAACATTATTATTTTGATATTTTATATCACATCCTAACATGTCTTTTCTGAAAGTTTAAAAACACATCGAATTTTTTATATTACTAGTGTCTGTCCTATAGAGGTTTCAACTTTCAACTCAAATATCCCAGCCAACAAAAATAATTTTTTTTATCAGACACTAGGGTATCTTGGAATCAACTGATATTCATGTAAAGTAGTAGAGAAAAAATGCAAACAAGAATCAGTAAGTCCAAAATAATAAACAAGTGAAAAACTTAAAATATTTCCGGAGCTTCCAAATAGAACATATAACAATAATAATACCTTAGAAGAGGGCTTGTTGGCCTGTGACACTCTATAAACCACTCCAAATGATCCCTCCCCCATCTTCTTCCCAAGAACAAAATCATCCTGCCACCATAAACCAATCTCAGTAACAAATACAAAACTCAACACCCACAAACAATATTTCATAAAAAACTGAACTTGAATTCACAGACCTTTTTGTAAGTGGGTCTGAACAACCTTTCAACAAAAGCAAGAACAAACATGTCAAAGAAACCAGGTGCCACACCAGGTGTGGCCCAGAGGTAAGAGAGAGTCCCTAAAGCCAGAACCATCCCAGGAACAGTGAGTGTTAAGCCATTGGACTTGGGAAGTGTGCTCCTATAGATTATATCTCCACACTCCATCACAGTACATGGAAGTCCCACCCCAACACCAAGAAAAAGGTTGTGAACTGCTTCAATCCATTCACCCCCTGATGCTAAAACTTGAAACACTTTGGGGTTTGAGACACTGAATCTTGCAATGCATTGAGAGGGTCTAATCCTAAGCCTCTGGCCTAGGAACAAGGACCTGTGCTTGGGCTTGTGGGTTTGTTGGAGTTTTGTCACTCCCACTCCAATTCCTATAGTTGCAACAGTGGCCATGCCAATTCAGTTTAGCTTTGGTTTGTGTGAGAAAAAGCTTCAGAACTTCACCTACTATCTCCTTCCATTTTAGACCACAACCTTTTTATTATTATTTATTTAATTTACAACCGTAATATAAACTATGATTTGTATTTATAAATATTGGCGGTTATTTCTGGTATTTTTTGTGGATACGGAGTTTGTAAGTTTGGAAATTGGATTAAGGATTAATATATGCCACAAATAACACGTAGATACTGCCGCGGTGTTGGGTTGGGCCTACATAATTTGTTCATCTTTCTGTGTACTTCCAAGTTCCAACGGTTCTTCAATTTTCTTCTTTTGTTTGCGTGCCTTTTCTTCTTACTTAGAAAAATCTGTTCTTTTATTTATCCAATTATTAGGATTAAAGGGATTTATACAACTATATAACTAAGAGTGTAACCTACCAATGTTTGGAAGACATTAGTTTTACTTAAAAAATAAATAATATAATTTTTTATTAAAAATTATGCTTTTTTTTTAACTTAGGTACAATTCTATTAAATTAAATAAAATAGACACTAAAGTTTTGCTCTCTTTACATATTTAACACAGTTGGCACTCCAACTCAAGATCGTGTGTTATTAAAAATTATGTTAAGAATTCATTATAAATTTATAATAAAAATATATATAAAAAAATCTTTATTTTGATTGATTAACCCATTAGTATCCATCCCTAGGATATTAGTTTAGTATTTTTGCTTGTAATTAATCATTATGGCCAGCAAAATTGATCCAGATATCAAATTTATTTATTTGTAACCTATAAAATTAGAGAGCTTCCCGAAACACAAAAGTACCTGCGTTGCCATTTTCAGGTCATTTTGGTTAAATTAGTTTTTATCTTGCAGCCCATTTTAATCCTTTGAAACTTGAAAGTGAAACTAAAGGTGTTTGAGATGGTAGTTTTTTTTTTTTTTTTGCACCATCTTTCTACAATTAAATTTTAAAACTGACTTCTGAAATTTATTTTTTAGAAAGTAAAAGATACATTCCAAAATCTTATCTTTGAAAATTACAAAAAAAAAAATGGTGTAGGTAATAAGAAAATTGCAAAAAAAAAAAGTAATTATTTCAATAAATAATCACTCTTTAAGATTTGAGTTCAATTTGGGTAAAATTTTCAAAAAGTTCTTACAGGAAAAAACTAATATAACAAATAATAAAAAATATTTCTTTAGAAATAAATTATATTTCTTCTTTTTTAGAAGTTCTGATAGATTTTTATTTAATTTTTCTAAAATTTGAAGAGATAAATTATTTTTAACTTATAAAATAAGTTTTATTTATTTTTATACTAAATATTTTTCTGATACTTTTCACAGTTGCATTTTTTTTTACCAACTACACCATCTTACCTTAAAGTTTAATTTCCTTTTTTTTTTATGTTGTTTGGTAAAATAAGTTTTTTTATATTTTTTTATTTTCTTTGACTATTTTTAAGTGTATCTTTTATCTTGTTTCTTAGAGGCACCATTTATTTTGTTATTGTTAGTTTTTTCTTTTATTTATTTAGAATGTTATTCTCAAAACTATATCTTATTATTTTTTAAAGATACATTTATTATTTATTTATAGATATACATCTTGTTATTTTAATACGTTTTTAATTCCATTAAATTTAAAATGTTCTAAAGTTTGTCTCACATTTTTTTTATCATACAAATTTGTAGTTTTACGCAAAATAAGTTAAAATTAATTTTAATTAAATAAAAACATTAAATTTAAATATTTTATTTAAATTAATCTTAATTAAATTACAATATTTAATCCAATATTTTTTACCTAAAAATCAATTTAGACTGTTCCTAAGAGACCTCTGTCCGGTAATTCAATTATTACGCAGTCGAACTTTTGATTTTTGATTTTTATTTTTTCTACAGTCTTTATTTTTTTAAAAATAAAAAATAAAAAACGCAAGAGCTGTAATCGAAGAATCCTTCGATCCCAGTGCAAGTGTAAGAATACAGTAGACCATACCACCAACTACCCCTGTAGACTGTACTACTGTCGTATCTATCTACGAATACTGTACATAATACCATGCATGCACTCCAATCACGTTCTATACGTCACCGTATCATCTCATCCAAAAATAGCAATACACACTCGGGTCGTGCGTGACGTGTCCATTTACGTCATTTCCCATCACACTCTATCGACTGGACGAGCAACAATCAGGTGACACAGTCCCACCGCCAAAACCATGCACCCGCGCCGGAAACACAAATCAAACCCCTAACTAACTACGAATCGGAGAACAACGACGAAGAATGGCGAAAGAGATCGTAAGGAGCCCACAAGCTATCCAATGGACATGGCTTCTTCGAGTCAATTCTCAGCCACGGTTTCCCCTTTCCGCTCCAGTGGAGGAGACTCACGGGACCAGGGTGCAGGTCACGGCAAAGCCCTTCCAGATTATCGCCGCCGAGGCCGTGCTGGTTCCACCGGTGCTCCACGCGCTCAACTTCACCGGCGAAGACGAGCAGAAACGGCGGCAACGATCCGAGTTCGTAGATCCGGTTCCGTTTCTGGATCCGCATCCAGTTTTCGAGCTTCTCCGTGTACCGTCCCTCGCGCCATTTCCACAAATCGATCACCATCACGCCGGTGTTAAAGTAGCACGCTTCGCGTCCCTTAAACGACGCCGCATAGCTAGGGCTCGACCAGAACCGGTGCGTGAAGTAATTGGTGAAGTTAGCGTGGCAGTACTCGGGCGCGCCGAGGACGCGCGCGTGGAGATCGATGCTCCACAGCTTCGCCACGTCATCCACGACGATCAGATCGGAATCAAAGTAGATTATTCGCCGAACGTTCGCCGGAAGTATGTCGGCGAGGTACATCCTCGCGTAATTCAGAGGCTGGTCCAGCGCGCGACGGATAGAGTACGAGATCTTGCCTCGTACGAGATTGGCATCGAAGTGGTAGAGGTGGAAGGTTAAGTACGGGAACGTAGTGGTAATGATGCGCCGGAGCTCTGGCCGGCGGTGCGTGGTGGCGATGAAGTGGAACACGACGTTCTCCGGACACGACGCGTGCTGCAGAACGGAGAACACGCCGGCGACGGAGCCTCGTAGGTAGGTCGCGTCCAGCGTCATCGCGATGTGGATGACGGAGCCGCCATGAACTCGCTTTTGGCATTCCCTTCCATTGCGGAATGCCGGCGCTTCCCGGAACGTTGGAAGCTCACCGGAGATTACGGTTGCCGGAGAATGCGCCGCGTGGGCGAAGAAGAATAACAAGACTAACGAGATAGTGTGTGTAAGTGTGAATGTGAGTGTCGGTGGCATGGTGATGCAGCAGAAGCATCGAAAACGAAAATTGGAACAATGAAGAGTATTTTTGTGAAGGTGTAGGGGTATTTTGGGTATTGTGTATGTCTCGGTTGGGTGTGGGCCCCTAATAGGACAACATGGTAGGAAGCCAGGCTGGAAAGACGCGTCTATGGTTTTAGCTTCGAGATGTGTGCGCTGTGTTATCGTTACGTGAGGATGTCCGATTTTCACCGCTGGATCTATTAATTGTGAGAAATGAACGGTTGGGATTTGATGGGGGTGAACGGAACAAGGGGCGCGAGAGTAAAGGCATGCGGTGGGCTTGTCTGCACTCGATAATAGCGATTCGCGTCTGAATCTCACGCTGTTGACGGAACTGCGAGTTGGAATGATTAAGTGTTATAAATTAATTAATTGATTAATTAATTGTTATTTAGCGTGTAATGACGCGCGATATTAGATTGAAGAATTGTTCTAATTTGACTGAGGACTGTTAACACGCAGGTATATTACCGTTGGTTGGACGTGGAATTGCTTAGAGCTTCTAATTATGATGAGTTGCGGAAACGATACACGCAAATGAGTGAGTATTAAACATTTCCCCGCAAAATATAATATTTTTATATTTATAATATTTTGTACATCTTGTTTCTTCAAATTTGTCAATTGGAATCTTAAATGAATAATCCACTCTAACCCGTTATATGTCACCTTATGTACATATCTAATATGGATTTTAAATTTATATAATAAGTAATGTTAACTAAATTAAACACTAGACAACTTAATAAGTTATTAAATTATGCACTATTAAATTGTCAAAACAATTTTATAATCCGTTATATTAATTTTTCTAAATATTTTATCCACACAATGCATATTATTACATTGAATGCCAATCAACTTTAAACTAATTTCTTTTTCCTACACTATTAATTATAAATTGTAGAATTGGAGGTATTGTCCAACATATCGAATTTCGATCGTTGAAAAAACGGTATCCTAATTTTTTATTTTAGAGAATTTGTCTGTCTTCATTGAATGCAGCCCGTGAACCGTGGAAACCTTAGTGTTTTGGATGAGAATTTTAAGTGAGAAAATCATTTTTCAAAAGAATTGATAATTATACAGATTACAATTTTTCATCTCAAAAGATTAAAACGCTATCCTACAAAAACATTAAAGCTTTCTTAATTTCATTACCGCTTTTCTCAAATTATTTTGTCTTTCATACATGAAGAGTGAAGACAGACAAAAACTCAGTGAAGGTAGTTTACTTGTCTTTTTCGAGGAGAAACAAGATAAGGTTATTTCATTCAGCAATTATAAAAATAATTATTATTATCGTTGTTGTTATTAATATTATTATTAGGCAAAATAAGAAATATTGTAAAGATCGAACTCCTAACCCAGCAACAAAATTTTCGGTCTTAAAAAATTGGCAGAAGTATGTACATCGATAATAAATGATAATTTAATATGCATAATTTTAGTTATCCAGTAATCTGTAATGGAAAGCCAACATAGCCACTTTAGTTCGGTAAGGTTTAAATCTTTTCATCAACCACTTCAATTTATTTTTTACTCCTATTCGTAAATATATTATTTTATAATCAATGTTTATTAATATTTTAAACATATTAAATAAGCATTAAAATAAATTTATCTATTTAAAAATAACTTTTAATTTAATAATTTAATTAACAAAATTTAATATTTATAAAAAATATTAAGCAGAATAGAGTTATTCCTCTTTTCCTCTGCATATAAAGAGTATTCGGTAATAATATTATTTTTATATCTAAAATAGTAAATCTAATCCTCTAATGTATTACAATTGATTTCAAAAGCTTGTCATTTTAGATCAATTACAGTCTTAACCAATGTAATAAACTCATTTTTTAAAACGAAATATTTGTTTACACAAGAAAAAAAGGCCGCGGTCGTAAGCCTGAGGTCATAGGCAAACAACTGTCTTTATTCTGTTAAGCTTTGATAATTTATTCAGAACTTTGTTAACATCAATGTATAAAATGGTTTTAAAAAATACTTCTTTTTATAGTTTTAAATATAATAAATATTAAATTTTAACATAAGAGCAAAATTAACGTTTATTTTAACAAATTTTCGTTATTTATTTATGATTTCCATCGCTTTCTCAGCATTCTAGCAGTATTTACAGCATCTTTTATCTTGTTTGAAGATCCGTGACTTACGAACTGTGATGTGAGCTTTGTTGGATTGCCATCACTTTCACCAGTGCACTGTTTGTTCCATGATACCTTTGCATATTTGCCTTTACATCCTAACATTATATATCATTAAAGTATAATTTTTTAATCATAAAACAATATTACAAAATATAAAAACATGTATTAATAATTTTTCAATTTTTTAACTAATATTACTTTACTTGTAAATTGTGCCTATATAAAGTATAATTTTGTTCTCAATAATAGGAATTTAATTCAACAACTAACATTGAGTAATTAATTGTAAGAAAAAGGCCACTAAACTTACCTATCCCTGACACTGCCGCTAATTTCACCGACTTCCCTTTTAGCTATTCAGTTCTTCAATAAATGATCATAGGAAGGTGATTTCATGTGCCTGCCATTGAATTCTCTAGTTTCATTTCACCACAAATTCTAACTAGGTTAATCCTTTTTTAAATTTATTTGTATAAGATTTTTAAACCCTTAATTTGACATTCCAAAACAAGTTTTGCGGACACCACGATTTTTTTACGTATTTTTAAGATATAAAATAAAATATTAATTAAATTTTTACTAGGACAATGACCAACTAAGGATCAGGGAAATAAATTTCGTTAAATTTCTAAGTGATATTATTATTAGGTACAAATCTTGTATTTATCTTTTCTTTTGATATTTCCTATTTATAAAAGAAAAATAATCATGAAAGAATCCATCTCTAAAGATGGAGGGACTCGTTTAGATCTTTTCGCCCTGGCAGGGACCATTTTATGGCAGACAGAATAGTATTTTCCTTCAATAACAATACCGAATAGCCTTCCTAACCAAATGGAGATAGACATTTTGAACTATGATAACAACAATAATTTTACATTAGTACATTTTTATCCACTTTTGTGTTTATAAATGTGTTTTAATTATTGTATTAACGGGTTCATTGATTTGAATTAAAATTAGTTTCTTTTATCAATTCAGTTATGAATAAACATAATAAATTACAAATATACTTAATTTTATTATTTACATTAATAAATTTAAAAGCAAATTTCCTTAAATAAAATTAATTATACAAACAAAATATATTTAAACAGAAATTAGTAATAATGAATTAGTCATTGGAACAGTGAATAGGCTTTGGTCACGTGAGAACAATCCTCATCTTTATCATTATTGTCATGAAAAGGTCCATTTATGGAAATCAACATCAGGCTCACCAACATATCACAACACTCCCTCACGTAGATTAAAAACAACAAATCGTAACAATACCAAAATTTGTACAATTGAAGTGGTTTGGATATGCTAATTGGCGTATTTTCTCACTCCTTCCCTGCATTACCTTCAACCGCAAGCAAACAAACTAAAACCAGGAAAGAGACTAGCTTAGCATAAAGCTTACCAGAGACCAAAAGCCACAAAACTTTGGCACCCAATTTAACATTCCTTCTTCCGCTTCACTACTCTCTCTCTCTCTCTCTCTCTCGCACACACACAGAGCCAACAGAAACAAACTCTTACCGTCTTTCACGGGAATCTTCATTTTTCATTTGCATTTCTCTTTCCTTTATGTCTTGACGCTCAACTCTCACTCCAACAAAACACGCACAATGTCTCTCTCGCCCACTCTCAGTCTCCACATATTCTTGTGCGTTCTCTTAACCACCACCACTCTCTCTTCCTCCTCTTTCTCGTACCCTTACGGTAAGCTTCTTCACACACTGTTAAACTCACACTTCACACATATACAAATCAAACATTCACAAAAAACTCGCTAACATATTTATTTATTTGTTCTAATATAATTTTCAAAGGTGTTTCTTACCACATCGACTGTGGGAGTCCAACCAACACCACCGACCCGTTCAACAACACCTGGCTCTCTGACCGCTACTTCAGCGGCGGTGCCGCTGCGATCGTGTCGGAGCCGCTGCACTTCCGGCACGCGCACGAGAAGACGCTCCGCTTCTTCCCAATCTCCTCCGGCAAGAAGAACTGCTACACAGTCCCTTCCCTCCCCCCGTCTCGCTACCTTGTTCGCACCTTCGTCGTCTATGACAACTACGACGGCAAGTCCCACCCTCCGTCCTTCGATGTTTCTGTCTCAGGCACCGTCGTCTTCTCCTGGCGCTCCCCGTGGCCCCAATCGCTCGCACGCAACGGCGCTTACGCTGACCTCTTTGCTTCAATCCTCACTTCCGAAGCCCTAATTTGCTTCTACAGCTTCGCCACCGATCCTCCGGTGGTATCCTCGATTGAACTCTTCTCCGCCGATTCGGCTTCCTACGATTCCGCCTCAATTGGCGACAACGGAACCTTGCTCGTCAACTACGGAAGACTCTCCTGCGGTTCGGACCAGTGGGGACCGGGCTTCACTAACGATTCCGACCGGTTCGGCCGCTCGTGGCAGTCCGATGCGGAGTTCCGAACCGGAAGGAACGAAGTCATTGCTGTTTCGACGAGGAATGGCGTCAGCGGGACCGATCAGAAGCCGAATTACTTCCCGACGAAACTGTATCAGACGGCGGCGAGGACGGCGGTGACGGCGGAGGAGGGTGGTGGTGTGTTGGAGTATGAATTGAACGTGGACGCGAAGCTTGATTACTTGTTGTGGCTGCATTTTGCGGAGATTGAGGGGAGGGTGCGAAGTGCAGGGGAGAGGGTGTTTGATGTGTTCGTCAATGAAGTGAATTTGACTAGGGTTGATATATACAAGCAGGTTGGGGGTTTTGCTGCGTTTACTTGGCATCACACGGTGAAGAATTTGAGTAGCAGCGTGTTGAGTGTGAAGCTTGTTGGTGTGGTGGGTGCTCCTCTCATTTGTGGGATTGAGAATTATGCTTTGGTTCCTAGTGATCCTTCCACGGTTCCTCAACAAGGTGGGTAGATGGATTTTTTTGGAAATTTTGATGACTGAAAGGAATTGGATTTTGTTTTCTTCTTTTGGTGTGTTGATAATTTTTATTTTTTGCCGAAATTTAGAGAGGTTTTTTTTTTTTCTCTCTCTCTTTAAATTGCATGCAGATTTAGAAACTTTGTGCCTGAAAGGAATCTGATTTTATTTTTCTTCTTTTGGTGTATAGTTAATACTTTTTTTTGAGTCGATGTAGTGAGTTGGTGTGTTATTGGAAATTTAGTCTGGGTGTTCTGATTTTTTATTTTGTGCAAATATAGTTACCGATTATTTAGGAGGTTGGTGAGCTTCTTTTTTTTTTTGGGTAAATAATTTTGCGTGACTGTGAATTGATATCATAAACTGGTGTGTTATTGGAAATTTTGTTAGGGAGTTATAATTTATGAATTTTGTGCAAATATACTTCTCGATTATTTTGGCAATTGTTTTCGGGCAATTATTTGTATTTACTGATGTTAACAATGGGGAAGGAAGAAGGGGATCAAGGTTTTGTTGACTGTGAGAACAACCACACAAGAATTGTGGTCAGTGAATGACCTGTCTTTCTTTGTCCTGTTTGGATGCAGTGATTGCCATGAAAGCGTTGAAAGATTCACTTCGGGTTCCTGAAAGAATGGGTTGGAACGGTGATCCTTGTGCTCCTACTAATTGGGATGCTTGGGAGGGAGTTACCTGCCGTATGAGCAAGGATAATACTGCTCTGGTGATAAGTCAAATGTATGAATTCCTTTCCATTCTCCTAAGTTATGCAATTGAGCTTCTAATTGGTTTTAGAAAAGAAAATTATTACAGGTATATAACGAATCTTAATTAAAAAAGTCTCTTAATAATTCACATGTCAAACTTTATACGTAAGGTTAATGGTGGGGCCCATATGTTAAATAGACAGACCACAAAGGGTGGTAAATCTAAAGTGCTCATGATATCATGTGACCAAATCATTGTATCAAAAAATTTCTTATTCTTTTTTTATACAGAAGCTAAAAGAAGTATTTTCCTCATCACCATTATTCTGCCAATCACCTTTTGGGCTTAGGAATACTCCTTTCCCTAAAAGCTTGGGTTGGTGGGGGATTATGGGTTCGCATTCCACAAATGCATATTTAAGTTTCTGAAACAAAAAAAAAAAAAAAAAATTTGAAAAGGTGGGAGTTACAATTTGTTCTAATTTAAACAGTAGTTCTTCTCCCATGATTAATTTATTTCCTTTTCCCAAACCTTTGACTTCATCTTTGTCTCAATTTTCATTTCAGTGATTTGGGAAGTCAAGGCTTGAAAGGATTCATTAGTGACCACATTAGTCTTTTGTCAGACTTGGTAAGCCTGTAAGTATCAGCAGCCGGATGTTTACATATGCTAGTCATCTCTCACATCACATGGCTAAAGTGTTTCAGGTTAACATGTACTATGTGGATGGAAATATGCTAATTGACCTACATCTATAAAATTTCCCATCGTTTTCAAGTGCTATGTATGTGATTTATATGTTCAAGCAGTAGTCATAGTTGGCAGTTATTACTATGTTCTCAACTTCTCGTTATATTTTGTTTGGCTTATTTCTTTTTCTTTTATCATAAACTCATAAAAGATCCCCTAATACCAAAGTAATAATGTACAATAACAACTATCACCAAGTCTTATCCCACCAGGTGAAGATGACTACATGAATCACACAATTCCATCAAGCTCAGTCAAAAACTAAATTCTTTGATATATTATTTACAAACAGTGTAATATTAAAAAAATTAAAACAAAAACAATGTTATGCATGCACCTTAGTAATAAAAAATGAAAAGAACAGAAGAGAAACATTTAATGCTGAAATCAATGGAACAGTACTCAACTTGACATTCCGCAATGGGGAGTAGAAAACAAATTCAAATTTAATGTTGGCAAATAAAATGAAACAAACAGCACTGTGCTCAATTGCTTATCATCTGAATAGTGCAAGCATAATAGGATTATGGGTGGGAAATCACATAAAACACAACAGAACCCAGAGAATTTGAGCACAAACTTAGGGAAACTGTACAGAAATAGAACACATACAACACTTGGTTATATTGAAACTCGAAAGCACATAATAGAACAGATTTGCACAAATTATTTGACCTTGCATTTGGACTCAAAAGTTATGTCCTGAATTTGCAGACAAACAATTTGTTCCATTAGTTGTGACCAGGATTTGCTGGTTCATAATTTGTAGAAAATGCCTTGATTCTTTGGCTGTGTTCATGAACGAAAACATGTTGGCTGAAAGCCTTGATCGGGTGGCTTCCTGTGTCACAAGTGTGAGGGTTTGATGGAGTGTTTAGTGTTTCCCTTGATGCAGACATGGTGTGTTGAAGGGGCAGCCAAAACTCAGTTGTTTTGGGCAACTTGGGTGATGAAGTAGAATTGATTCTCATATCTGAGTAGTTAACTAGGTGTTTGACTTGTGATTCTGTGCAACTTTGAGTGAGTTTGAATGAGTCTACCCACTTCTACCAAGAAACGAGTTATTAAGAGTGACTCAACCTCAATTTGCTAACCCATAATTGTAAATGTGTAAAATTCTGAGTTCACTTGCTAGTTTGATAGCCATCTTCAGAACAATGTAAATTATTCATTTTCAAAATGATCAGCTTTGGTACTTTGAAGCAAACTTGTTCTTCATTGTGTTTATTTTTTGTTATGACTCATCATGTTGACAGAATCATGACACACATGAACACCTTTCCTCCATTATACTTGATAAATGAGCACTGTTAATTTTTTTTGGTTCTTAGTCACCATTAGAATCCCTTCAATATTCTTGTCCCAGCCTTGATGTACATCATTTTGGCCATAATTTTGGATCCAGATCCCAGCATACATCTATAGTTGATCATTATTCATTCAGTTTATGCTTTCAGCATCTGTTTTCCTAGACATACTTCAGTAACTCAAGTTTATACTGGTTTCTATCATCTGGTAATTTCTCTTTTATTTTACAGGAACCTGAGTTCTAATTTGTTGGTGGGTGAAATACCTTATGGACTTGGTAAAAAATCCTTGATACACCTGTAAGTTTCAGGTTTTTTAGATGTTATGCAAAATATTTTACAGAACTCCGTTGACTGTAGTCTGTTATTTGATTAGTTGTTGATAAGTTTCCAAGTTACCCACTTAAAAATCATATTTTGCTAGATATTTCTTTCATTTACTTTTGCCATTATACCAAATATTGAAGAGATAATGTAAATTATGCTTTCCCATAAAGTATGAAATCTCAGTTGGTCCTCTATTTATTGTTATTTTAAGCACCAATTTAATTTACAATTTGATGTCATAAATTGAAATTGAATTACCAATTTGATGTATCATTCTTTTATAAATGTTGGACTAAAATGTATATTTACTTGAATATGATCATATCTGTATATGTTTTCTTTGGATTAGTAAATGCTGGAGTTCCTCACTGGTTTAATTTTTTTTTTTTAAAAGAGAATTTTCTGATTTTTTTTATTCATCTCTCTCATCTACATTTGAAATAAATGTGACATTATTTATTTAACATTTTACTTGTTTTATTTGAAAAATATACTGTAGGGACCTATCCAACAATCAGTTAACAGGCTCCATACCAGACAGTATAGCCTCTTCAAGTTTGCAGCTTGTGTAAGTATCTACTACATTATGTTTTGCAAACATGTACCTATAGGACACAGATTAAAGAATAAAAAATAGAAAATTATAAACATTTTAATAATTTCTTCATTCAATAAATAATGTTAATAGTCAATGCTAATTTTATTTCTTATAAGCACAAGATAACAAAACCCTTATATTTATTGTGATTGTCTTTCTCTTAAATGCTTAGATTAAGGTGGTGACATAAATTAGGTGCTGTAATCTGATAAAACTGAGTTTTTGCTGATAAAACCAAAATCAATGGAGAATATCTCCTTACAAGAACAGAAAATGTAGAATATGAAAGATAAATCTAGAGTTGTGCAAATGCATTGAAGCTCTAGCTTAAAATCATTCCCTTTTTTATCCATTCATGCTCCCATGCACTTGATAACCTTTTGGATTGCAATAGGTAGTTCAAGATCATTTCGCTCCCTTTTCTGGAATCAAGCTTCATTCTTGGGTTTTTCCCAATCGTATTCATAACATTGATCAAGCACATGCCAAATGGGTAAACCCATTTTATTGTACTATGTGGTGACATCTAGATCACCTTTTTTGGATTGCAAAAGCCATGTCTTAAAGTCAAGTATGGAGAAAAAGTCTCTAGGTGTGAACAGCATTCACAAACTGCTTCGCAAATGACCTTGGCCATTGGTAGAAATAAAAGTTTTCGTATAGCTGGTTCCACGGTATTAATTAGCCAAGCAATTACAAGGGAATTTTCAGATTTCCACTTTGCCAAGGAGGGGCCATTTTTTGTAGGTTGGGTTGTGTCTCTAGTTCAGTACCCTAGTTTACCTTTGCTTCCCACCAATAGTTTTATAGATTGTGCCAATTCGATGTAATTTATTTTGTTGAGCTTCTGTATTGTGAGTTATAAGTTTTAGTTCTGGGGAAGAGCCTTGACAGACAACGTGGAAGGTGTGGAATGCCCTGAATGAGTATGTTGCTCATCTTCAGATGAGCCTCTCAAGATGGTTGAGGGACTAGGGCTGGCTCTGGCATTGCATTTTTCACCATGAAAGGAGGTGCAGAGCATGAAGCTTTGATACCATCTAGGTTTAGAAATGAGGATGGTTTTATTTCATTGATATCACTTACAAATTATATAAAGGGATTTATAGGCAACGTTGATTATAGATGATTAATTATTTTGCTACAATTTAGTGAAAAAAAAAAGATGTAATAATAAACTCCCCATCTAAGAATTTGAAACTAATTCAGAGTTTATTCTATTTAAAAGACTCCTAAAATTTCTCTACCAAATAATTCCTTAACAAACCTCATCAATTTCCTATTCTATCGTCCTCATCCATGTGTTAATCCTTTTCTTCCCATTCCCTTGTTGACACACCTTACTCCTTGTATTTGTAGCATATAACTTGGTAATAAGGGTCTATCAAGTATCAATAACCAAAATTTACCATTTCCTTAAGACAAAAGAGTAGTTTAAGATCCTATCACTAGGATTGCATTGCTTGAAGCATGTTGACCAAGTTATGCTTGAAGCATAAGTATTTCTATTGTGGTCCCATTTTTTGAATGACCATCAACCATGTTACGCTTGAAACTGAATAATTGCCAATATGGGTACCGACAAGGTAAGTGATAATCTCACACCTGTAATTCTTCCCAACCCCATCATTCCAATTGTAGTCATGATGTCATAAGTGCCTCTATCCTTCTCTAATGCATTGTTTTTTGTTGCATTTTTGGCCATGATGTCCAATTGTAGCTTCATTATTACTAACAACCTGTTGTTTTCTGTGACAACCTTGGCACCATCTTCCTTGCTCATACCCCCATGCTTAGCTCTCACACTAAACATGTGGAGTTTGATCTCTTCTGTAAGTGAAAAAGTTATCTCTAAGCGTCTCAACATTTGTCACATTCCTGCTCAAGACTATGTGCTACTTCCCTACTGAGTTTGCAGGTGTGTGTGTCATTGTATATTATGGTTTGAGTAACTCATATTGCTCTAATTGTCTAACTAACATCTGTTATAGTTAGGTACCAGCTGTTGGTTCAGTTAAGAGATAGTTTGACTAATGGTACTGAATCAAGCAGCTGTCATATGTACTGAATTTTCTCTTGTACATTTCTCAGTATCTATATATAGATCAAATTCCTTGTAATCGATAGGTTTTAGTATCAAGACAATTTTCATTCTTCTCAAAAAAAAATTTCTTTCTCTCTGAACTCGGTTTTTGATTCTCTCTTATCTCTCTCACGTCAAATCCAAATAAAATGATGCATTACGGCTTTAAAATTGACACTTCTGTAATTTTTTGAGACTCTCTAAATTGCATTGAAAAGCATACTTGCATATTGTGTTCCTGATATTAAATTTGGTCTGGTAGCTTTTGTCACCCTGGAGCTACTGAATCAAAGTAGTAAAATCTGTGAATTAATTTTTGTAATCATAAATTCTAATCAGTATTGCATTGAACTGCATCTTAATATTCGTGCTTGAGAATGTGAAGGCTATTTATTTTGTTAAGTACCACGGTCATCCATGAGACTGATAGTAAGTGTTGAAAGCTAAGACTGTTATTTTTCTTCTCTCTTTGAAGTGATTGGTCACCATTGAAAAAACATGGTAGGTAACACAACCTCTAGTCAGTCTTAGACAGGTGTCCCGTTCACCCTCCTGACACTTTTTGCTTACTTGGGTTTGTTTTTCCAATCTATTTTATCTTTTCAGGCTATTGAATGGTAACTTATTGGAAGGACGAGTACCAGAGGAACTTTATTCGATTGGTGTGCATGGAGGAGCTATTGAGTATGTCACTTTAATCCAATACTTTTATTCTATAAGCTTCTGGGTAATGTGTTCAGATTGAAAATATTGGATGACATTCATACTTCATGATCTTTCAAGTCCTGCATATTTTTCTTGTTTCTGTTCATGTGTGCGTACTTAATTAAAATAAATTGATAGAGCGTCTCACCCACTCATGCCCATGATGTCATTTGTCATCAATATTTAATGCCAAAGTTAGTTTTAATGTCAGATTTTACACAAAGTTCCCTGTCCTTCTGTCTCTTCTCATCATTTATTGTTTCTTCTGCTTGTACAGTCAATTTTGGTATAAGGATGTTCAAAATGAGTTATTCTTGTAAGCGGAAGTAAATTTGATGATTTCCAAAATCTTCAACTTTGATTTACCTTCAGTCCTCTAAGGACTGACTTTGCAATAGTAATGGTCTATGCCTCAATGCACTTTTGAAAGATGCAATCAGTGATAAAAATTTCGGATTGGACTGGTTTGTTCAATTGATGAACTGGTGAACCAGCCTTGTCATGAGTCTGGTTGATACAATAGGTCGGACATGCATATAAACTTGTAAAACCCAATTTGAGTTGGCCAATTTTTGTAAAAATTGGTGAGTTGGCCAAAATCATTTGCCCAAAAAAAGAGAGAAAAAAAAATGCATTGGTACAAATGGTGTAGATATAGATTTTATGGTGTACAAAATCCTTCTCTTCAATCTTGTTAAGTACTGGTTTCTCATTGAAGTACTGGTTTCTGTGTCATCATTCAAGCTTTCCCTAGCAGCCATGAACAAAGGTAACTTGTTGAACAAAATGTGTGGTGAACGTAGAGAGAGCTCATCAGAACAAAGGTAAAGTTGATACCTTTTATTTGTTGGTGGTCATTGACTGTGTCTCTAGTTCTACTCGGTGAGCATAGTTTAGGCATTTAGGTGCTTTGAGGTTATGAAGTCAGGCGGAGTTCTAGGTTCTTCCATGGGTAGTGTATTTATAACTTTTCAGTGGTTTGAATTTATAGAGAATCGAGACTAGTAGTAATTTTCAAATTGTTTTAAAATAATGTTATGTCTTTTCTCCAGGCACAGTGCTTCACTTTTGATGTTGATATATGTCTGGCTGTTTGGACTTGAGCTAGCTTTCTACTAAATACTAATATATCCTTGGGCTTTTGCTTTTATCCTTTGAATATTATTTAACTTCTCACCCAAAAACAAAATACTGCCAGCACAAATTATTTTATTTTATTTTTCCATTTGCATACACACACACACACACACACTCACATAACTGGTTTAATTAGTATTCATTGGTTAAACTAATGACCCATCAACCCACTACCTTGTTCAAGTTGATAACCAGTCTAAGTTTTATAACATTGGCTGCAATTAAATTGTAATTATTTAAGGAGAAATCATCTCTTTCACATCTTCAATTTGATGTGTTTTTGCTCAGTCTCTCTGGCAACAAAGGTTTGTGCGGTGTACCATCTCTGCCAGCTTGTCCTATGTTTTGGGAGAATGGCAAATTATCTACTCAGGGTAAAATTGCAATAGGCTTGTCCTGTCTTTTTGTTTTCTGTGTGATACTGCTGCTGGTCTATATTTACATCAGGAGGATAAGGAATGACTATGATTTTGCTCTGCCTCATGAATTAACATGTAAGTATGATTTCATTAAGATTCTTTGCTGTCAAACTTTATTTATTTTTTTTAGGCTAACTGTGGTATTTCTTTATTTACTTTACCGGTGTGGTTTCTTCAGTTTACAATGGTTTTTTTAATAAAGGAGTGCTAGGACCACACACTTTGTTTCTAACACATTTTCAATTATTGGGTAAAATTTATTTAAAACTAAAAAAGTATGAAAAAAATTCATTAAGTTTGAAGTGGGACCCATATTCTTTTGTGATCTATATTTACATCTAGTAACTTTCCTTAAAATCTAGACAGCATAAAGCAATAATTCTTTATTTTTCAAGAACTACTATAGAAGATTAATACGATATTTCTTTCCATTGTTATATCTCTGCGTTTAATTTAGAGCATGATATTACCCTTAAAACTCTAATAAACAACCATAAACCTTTGATCTAGTGAATGACTTAAGAAACTCTTTTCTTCGTTCATTTAATTGCCTTGACTAAGGTCTTAATTTTATCATAACCATCCAACTCATTAACAACAATTGATTAGTTCCTTTTTGATTAATTATTAATTCTGCAAGTATTTAATCATACTCTATATCTTTGTTTCCTTTTAGATTAATCATTAATTCTACAAGCCTTTAGTGATTCTTAGTGTCTATCCAAGTGGTGCCCTAAGGTATTAGGTGTCCCAAATCAAAGTACGATGAATAACCTGTAATTACAGTAATAATCTCAGGTACAAAGAAACTATTAGGTTTGTTGAGAATTTCCTATTGACAATTTAATGGTAATATTAACCATTAGGAATTCTTAGTTGAGTCATAATTGTATCTAGATATGCTTCATCTATAAATACAACTTAATAAATGAGATTTACCCAATAGAGACCATTGCATAGATATTGATCTATCTAGATCATTGATGTCATATCCTCAATAATCAAAATTGTCAAAGATTTGCATAATTGAGTTATAATTGTATCCTAGATATGCAAACTATAAATATAACTTAATAAATGATATTTATCCAATAGAGACCGATCATTGATGTCATATCGTCAATAATCAGAATTGTCAAAGATTTGCTTCTCATTATCATATTAACTATTTAATTGAGGAGCTATAAATATGATCATGAAACAATGAATTTCACTTTACCTGTAAGACTAAGTTGATATCCATAACATGATGATTTGACTCTTGGACATACCTATTTATAATGAACAGTCAATTCTCCCTATTAAGCAATATGATTAACAAAAGGCATACATTAAGACATTGGCTCCCAGATGTGACAAGGAAGTCCTTATCGTTTTAGCATAACCAAGGTAAAAGGATAAAGACTGAAAGTTGACTGTTCATATAATATTATGGCTCCTAGATGTGCCAAATAAGTCCTTAGTGGTGCCAGCATGTGTTGAGCACTTGTTTTAACCTTGTCATGCATGTTTATGCAAATGCAAGAAACATATATATCCTCTATGTTGCATGAATTTCAATACAGTACCCGTACCCCATACAAATATGGGTACCATATTCAGCAATTTTGAAAAATTAAGGTTACGTGTACATCAATATAATATTTAAATATGTAAACAAAGAATATAAATGTGTAAATTATTGTGAAAACATTTATAATAAAAAAATTTAACAAACTCATCACACATATCATAAGTAAGGATTAATGAATTTGATTAAATACATAACTAAATATAAGAAAATTGAGAGAAAGGTGAAATAAAATTGTCAATTTATCGAAGAAAAACGCTCTAGCTAATTCTTCAGGCTATAAATTCTTAAGTCGTACTTATGTGGCATATAATTGTTTTAAAAAAATAATTTTAATAAGCATCCAAGTATTACCAACATGTACTGGGACCCTATATCCGATAAAATGTAGTTCCCATGCTTTAGAGCATTTCCTGTTGGCCAAGTATAACGAACACAAACTCCCTTCTCCAAAACTTCCCCGAGACTTCTCCAAAACCATTTTGTAAAATCGTTATTTCCTTTGGTAACTCCATCAAACTTTATAGAAGGCTTCAATGCTTGACCTCCTTGTCATTAATCCAAATTTGGCTATAAGAATTACGATAGGAAATAATCAAGATTCATGATTTCTGACTTTAATAATCATTTGCCACTCAGTCTATTTTAACTCTAGCCCCCATACTATTTTACACTGTCTCCTATTCATTTATTTTATGTTGGTAATTCAAGTCTTTTGGACTAGGTGTTTTGTTTCTTTAAAGCAGATATTCCATCATGTTGTCTTTGTCCTCTTAGTGCCTTTTAGTGAATGTCCTTGATCTAAATGATGTCTTTCCTGCCAACACTGTCTGTCTGCTATTCTTGGTGCAAGTATCATTCGTGTACCTTGGCATTTTTACCTGTCTACATTCATGATTCTTCTATTGCAATGTACTTTTTTTCGGTCAAATATTGCAATGTACTTTATGATGTTATTTTTTCAATTTTTTAGCTTTGTACTGGGCTTTGTGTAGATTGTATTCCATGCTTTCATTTTTACCATTCAGGTAAGTTTTTCTGAGTGGTAAATCCAAATGAATCTTGTTGATTTGTTCTCAAATTGTTGAAGACCACTCGATCTAAAATTATTTTAATATGATTTACCTTTTAAAAGTTAATAATTGGGAAAGACTACTACTATGCATTTATATTTTCTCGTACAATTTTTACCGCATTGACAAGAACGCCTTATTTTCTGTGTACTTTCACAATCGAGTTATAGTATCTTACAGACAAAAAATGCACCACTTTGGAAATTCTCAGACATCTGTCCATGGATCTCACCTCCACCCTGAAGATTATTAAAAAATAATCGTTTTTATTTCTTGTAGGCAACAATATGTGCTTTCAGAATCACTGTCAGATCATCATAAATTTTTAAAACTTTAATAAGTTGGACGGCTTTGCTAGGATTCTCAGGATATGTTTGATTACTGTTTTAAAAACAGTTTTCTATTTTTAAAAATAAATTTTAACAGTTTTTTGTGTTCTTTACACATTTTTTCTATCTGTAGCTGAGTTTTTAACCACTTCAGCTTTGATACTTGCATGCTTTGTATCTCATTGCTCATATATATTGGGTTCAATCTACATATGGAGAAACCATTCAAATTCATCTTTTGTAGTGTCCTTGTACATACTAGCCCCAAGAAATGTAGAACTCTGATATTTTTTTTATGCCTAAATTCTATGCCCACTGTTGACTATTTTATAATTTCTTTCGCAGCATTAGCCGCCAAAAGAAATCGATATCAGAGGCAGAAATCCTTAATGGTTCTTGAGATGGAGAGCCAACACGCCAAGGGACTACCTTCACATTTTACCACTCAATAACTGTTTCTTTTAATGGAAATGGAATGTTGATTTTCATAGTTTTCAGCTAAACATACACCGACACAGCTTCGAGAAAGGGTCTGAATGCGTTCCAGAGCATCAATACTGGGTCGTGACGTGACAACACTGCGGCTTTAGGTGAAAAAAAGTCTCGTACAACTTTCTTTGTCTCGGCAAGGTTTCTGGAAGCCACTTATACGATTCATGCTGTGTCACATTGTTTCTTGACACAAAAAACAGCTTATACCCTGTGATGTCAATACTTAGCCGCAGCTTTTGCTGAAAATGTGATAGGTACAATCCATCAATGTATAAAATTGGAGCCACAAGTTAGTGTCCATTTTTTGAAGGCACCTTGATTCTGCTTGATTCATAACACTGTATACTGATTTATGTAGCTTAACAGTAGCGATTGGACTTCAAAGTACAATGTATTTCAAGTATTTTCATTCGTTTATACCATTCATGACGAAAAATTCCATCTTTTGTTCACGATAAGGATTTCTATTTTTAGTTCCACGTACAAGGTATAATACTAGAATTATTTTTTGGAATCTCTCTATTCAGACTTCAGATGTCTGTTGCAATTTATTTAATTATTTGAAAACATCACTGTCTAATTTTATTTTACAGTTGCAATTTTTTTTTTATGGAGTATTAAAAATAGTTTATGGTTCTGGTTCCCAAAACAGAGATGTTAACAAATTGACGATGATACACAAGCTTGTTTCAATAAAAAAGAAACATTATTAAATTTTTATACCTATTTTCGTATACAGGAGATGAACTTGAATTAGGGAAGAGCATTCAATAACCACCAAGCCAAAACTTGATGGCTCCCTAACTGTACAAAATGGAGTCAATAGAGATGATAAAATCAAACCCCTCCCCACATAAATATCTTGTATTAACAAATTGATGATTCCTTGACTTGTTATTAAAATGACACAATATTTCCATTCAATTTTTAGCAGTATCAGTTGCTTTCTTACTAATTAAATGCCACATTACAAAGTCCCTTTTTGTTGCATAAAAAGGCAACGGATCCTTTTATTTAGGTAATAGATTATGTTCAAACTTTGTCTATCTCTCTAAATAGATATTAAATTGGCCCTGCCTAAACAGTAAACACGATATATTAAAATTTTGACATGAGAGGATCACCCTACCCAGGCATGGATGTTTCAAACTCGGAATTTTGTTAAAGCTAGAGAGCTAAATGGTGGTTTTTAGGCTTCCATCGATTTTGTTAATGCTAGATGTACCTATATGGCTGTAATTGACATGAAAGGAAGCATTCTCAGGTAGGCATGATGGTTTCCACAGTTATCTAGTTGCAACAAATGAGGATACGTATTAAGACACCACATTGCCCAAATTAGGGTGATAAGGGAGTGTTTAGTCTAAAGAGAGAATATACTTGAGCATAGTTGAGATACCTCTATAAATATGGAACGAGAAGGGCATTGTTGCTCCCTAATGCATGGTGGAGCATAATGCACCCTTGTTCGTAATAACGATAATATAAAAAATAATTTTGTTGCTAATAGTACAATAACTTAATTGCAAGTGTCCTCAAATCACAACTAATGTATTTGTCAAGTATCCTTTGCCTTATACTCGGCACATGTGATAACATTGGTGCATTCCATTAACTCAATAATACATGAATTTGGCCAAACCTCGAAACTCATCCTCTTTACTTGGAAACATAAGTTAATATTTGGACCTCTAAAGCATAAATACCTTTAGGTTAAAAACAGCCTTGGTAACCAAAGTAGATTGGACTATGTGAGATTAGTGCTTATCAATCATCAGTAAAGCATGATAATTCTACATTCACTCCTATCAGGCATCAATCTCTTCTCCCCCCCCCCCCCCCCCCCCCCCCCCAAAAATCAAAGCTTACATTAATCATCCCCACATATTTAATAGCAAACAACAAAGAAAAATGCTAGGCATCTACACCGTATACAAATGAGAGGTTGATATAAACTGTGAGGTCATTAAATCAGGTTTCTTAGACTTTGCGGGGACATTTGATACCAGTTGTGAAGTTAAGGTAAAATGTTTCCTTGACCATACCAAGCGCTCTAAGATTTTTCCAGATTTTGTTGCTGGCAATATGGTGGACAAATTAGGGTCACAACTAAAGAAGACAAAATTTTTTTTAAATAGATTCAACTCGCACTTTTCTTGTTTACTAATTCAAAAGTTCAGTTTAGTTTACAATTCTTTAATTTCAAAGAGTTTCTATAAATATTTAAAAGAGTTTCTTATAATTCTTTAATTAAAAGTAAAATTAAAAACATTTTCTAAAATTAAACCACTTTTAAGACTTAGAGTTGATTCTCAAATAAATTAATTAATAAGAGAACTAAACAACTTTTCATATTGGTGTAACTCTCCTATGCAATTTATGTTTTAGCAAGTTCTTTAGTTTTCCTTAGGTTAATTACTAAGTAGACTTTTAATTTGTAAACGAGTTGGATTATTCTTATACTCCTTTAGTATGTATTATAGCTTATAAAAAAATGTTACGCCACTCGCGTGATTGAAAAAGATTAATATAGGATAAATTACTTATTGCGACATGCATATAATTAGGATAATGTAGTGATCATATTTCCTCACAACTTTAACATGAAACATATTACTAAATTCTTTAACTACTTGAGACAATTCAACCATGCTATCAAGTCAATTATTATTACAGGCATCCATCAACGACCTTTCAGCTGGAACACTACTAATATGAAGTTTTGACTTTGAAAAGCAAAAAGAAAGACTACAAAAGCATGAGTGAATATGACTTTCACAAGCCTACGAATGCATGACTTCTGATACATATCAAATTAATAAATTATTTTCCTTTATCATAAACTTTTTCTCTTTCAGCCATGCTTTGACTGGAAAGTCGATTTCAAACTCTGCAAGTGTAAACTTAATTATAATATCAAATGACTGGCTATGGTGGATCCACGACCTAGAAATTCTTATAAATTCTATTGCGCAAGTATTGTATTAGTTTATTAATAAAAATAATGCGGGCACTACATAATTTTTCTTAAACATTATTAATCTATATATATATTTGGACATTATCATATCAATTATATTTAAAAAGCAGTTAAATGAATTGATGCCCGCGTTTAATTTTTCTTATATGTATAGTCAAAATAATAAAATGAAATACGTTATAACGCCAAATATAAAAAACATTAGATTGATAAATGAACGGTGAAAAAAAGGAACCTTAGTTCCCATGAAAGTGGGCTCAAATATATGTTTAAGAAAAACAGAAATAAATTCCCGATGATAGTGATTCATATGAAGATTTTATATCATATTGCCCACAAACATGCTTTTCAGTACACCTTTAATTTATCATGAGCTTGAGATAGAAGCAAGAACAGCTGCAAATATTTGTTAGAATTAAACTCGTTGAGTTACCCTCACTGTATCCCATAGTCACTAGATGCTGTCACAAGTATAACAATCTCTCAGTCTCCAAGAAGAAGAAGAATAGACAACACTTGCAATATAAAATACATATTGGTTAAAATACAATTCTTCCACCTTCGTTATGCTTATTTTTAACTAGAGTCGTTCTTGACTTTTTTGGAATTAGGCGAAATAAGAAATTAGGATCCTTTAAAAAAATATAAAATATAATAAATAAAATAAAAGCATATGTTAATAATTTTATTAAAATAATAAACTTTTTTAAGTGGCTATAATTTTTTCTAATAAAATTATAAAAAAAATACTTTCATTCAAACAACTCCTATGTTATAATTAACTACAAAAATACAAAAAATCATAAAAAATGGGTTCCATGAGCATTCTGAGATGCAAAATCATTAATGATAACATTAATATTAATATTTTTAAAAAATTCTTTATCGATTAATAAAATTGTGAGACCTTTCAACAGTTCTTGTGATATTAATGACTTTAGATAGATTTTGATTAACTTTAACTCTAAAAAACTTCTTTCAGTTGATGATATAGTCACCAAGACTGTAAAAAAAATTATATAAGTGATTAAAATATTTAGATAACAATCTGTAAATTTGACAAACTCAATAACTATTTAATTTTTTTTGGAGAAAAGTAAAATTTTTTATGAGCTTTAATGTTAAGAATAGTAAAATTTTATAATTAAATAAAGTTTTGAATTTACAGAAGTCAATAAGTCGACTATGTTTATAGCAAATGAGGTACGAGAAATTAAAAGGTCTTTTTTGTTTTTCTATTTTTTTCAACTACAAACTGTAAGAGCTAAAAAATTTTTCAAGTAAAAGTATGATACGATTTTTATTTTCGGCCTTTTAAACTTGGGTTCTAAGCGATCGCACCTCAAAATTACCCTCAAAATCAGGCCAATTTTCAACATGATTCATTTAAAAATAACATCTTACAACTAATACTGTTTTCAACTTCAAGTGAATTAAGGTAAATAATTTAATAAATTTTTATTATCAAAGAATTTATTACATGCATGAACAAACATATCTTAGTAAATTGCACTAAAATTTATTAAAATAAAATTTTAAAAAAATTAGTTATAATCAAAGCCATTTTCAAAAATAAAATTACGAAGAAACCAAAATAAGATTGATGTATATCATATTCTTGAGATCACTAGAATTAGATCTTAGGATAGGAATAAGGCTAGCTAGGTTGGAGGGATTTTCTTGGTTATAGTATCTAGTTGCTTTTCAAATCCTATGTTATATATGTCTTTCGTATATTGTTTTTACCATGTACTTTTGTTTAAGGGTTGGCTTATCCCTTGTGATTAATTATCACTTGTTTTTGTAGGTTTGATAATAGAATAAAATATGATAATATTTCTATCTTATATCATTTTTGGTATAATAAATTTTATTTCTTGGAGATTTAAATTAAAAATATACATGATAGGATATAACGTATCTAGTTTATTATTATAGATGCATATAAAATAAGATGAGTGTCCTATTCTTATCATATTATATTTTTATTCAACTCTTGTAATCTTATCCTCATTTCTTTTGCTTATTAAAAAATATTTTTACAAACTACCTTAATAATAAGCTCTGTATAAATTCTTTAAATGTCTAAAGATTCTCTTTATTAATATAAAGTCTAGTATTGTTACAATATCGTGAGAGATTGACATGAAATAACTACAAAGAGTAGGAATCAAATTTAAAAGAAAATCAGAAAAACAAAAAATATAATATTTTGAACCGTTATGCATTTGGACACGCACTCAAACTTCGACTTTGTAGCCGTGTTCATGTTAAATTTGAACGTAATAACTTGCTTTTCTCTCGACGTACCAAACACGGTTGTAAGAGTAAGATTTTGGATTTGGTTGCATATTGACTAGAACCAATTATGATAGAAGTAAGATATTATTACAGTCCTATAATTAATGTGCATTGGTGATCATGTTTAAAAAAATCATGTACATCCATTCTAATGCGATAATCGATTATGGTCATCAAAACACCATACTAAACAAGTACGTAATCCATTTTTTTAGCTTGCTTTCTGTG